CCACGACGGTGTCACCTATTGGGTCACTGTTTAGGCCTTTCACTTGGCCCAACATAGTCTATACATGGGCCCAACTAGCCCCTAATTGGGTTGACCCAATTATAATCCCAATTATATGCTAACTATGAAATTTAAAATATTTACTAAGTTAAATAAGTTCGTAAGTCTAGATTTCTTCCGGCGAGCTTCCAACGAACTTCCAACGATCTCTCGGCAATGTTCCAACGGACTCCCGGCAAGCTCTTGGACTTCACTACGATCTTCTTGGCGAGTTCCAATGAGCTTCTTTGGCAAGCTCCTGAACTTCTCGATCAATTCCGATAGAACTTTCGACGAATGTTTGGACTTCTAACGAACTCTCGAACTCCCAACGAAATCATGTTTTTGACTCCGGGACTTCATTTTGCTTTATGTCTTACTATCATAGTTAATCCTGCATACTTAAAACTCACTTCGATCTAGACAATTACTACTAAGCTAATCAAATTGTGTCCGGTATGTCATTAGTTCATCGACTCTTCGTCCGATTCTTCGGTGCATCGTCCTCTCTTGTGGCCTATTGCCCAATCAGTCAGTTGATTTCTGCAACTCTAATTTTCTTAGTGCAATATTTGCTATTCTTGGCCCGAAGCCTTATACGTCAACTGATCCTTCGGTGCGATATCTAATCTTCTGACATGTTTTTCTCTGGCCCAACATGATTCTTCCTGTTTTAATTATATATCCATGATCGAAGCTTCCTACGTCACTCAAAATGTAGATTAAATCATAAACATTATCAATTGATTTCATTATGCACTAACTTAAGATTCAACTGTGGCCCATATCCAATATATCCAATATATTTGGCATCCAATAAAATTTTATATCGACGAAAATCTTATGCACTAGCTTCCTGCTTTAGATTCAACTGTGGCCCATATCCAATATAGGCCATGCCCATATATGATATTTGGTAATCATATTTGTTTTTAATTTGTTGGTTACTTGTGAGCCTACACCATCCAGTCAATAATAAGAAGAGAAAATGCTGCAAGCATATGTACATATAAAAATTATAATTATGTTATTATTATGTAAAAAAATTAATATTAGATAGTGTACCTTTCCATATCATTTAGAATACTTTTCTTCTTCTGTAAATGTATAATCATTCAATCCAAACAAACTAATTTACAGAAAAAATTAGACTCATTTTTTTTTTCTCTTGATAAAATATTGACTAAGGAAAGATGAGAATAGTTTTATAATCTTTCTTTTATATATATAATCTTTAGGAAATCTTATCTATTTATCGATGAAAACAGATGGTTTAAGATTCACTCCCATCAACATTATTTCTAATAAAAAAACTTATTATAATTTTATATAATTTTTTTAATATATCTATGAATAATCATACAAATATCTAAAAATAATAGATGTGACTTCAATTGTGACAATGTGTGATACAGTGCAATGAACATGCATGATTACAAGCTATGCGTGCTACTTCACAGGATTCAGTTAGATAACAAGCTTTCAGCATAATATGATCAAAGTGATTACATGGATTGGACTCACAAAGACCATCTTGATTGCTTCTTGCACATAATGGAAGTATGACTGCTAGTCTTTGTCATGATCATGATCAGTATTTTATTCTGCTGGCAGTGCAGTAAGTGTGACTGGGGACAAAGGCAGCGTTACGGTGGAAAGAATAGATATGATCTCTCCGGTCACTACAGGATTGATGCAGAGAGGGGGCCAACAGAGAATTCTTACACGACTTCCAAAGTGTGTCATTCTTATAGTCTTTCTCCGAGCACAACTGAAACCTATATAAAAATGATTCCAGATGCGCATAGCATTTAGTGGATGGATATATTTAACTCGATCGAGCTTTTTGGAGAGATGAATTCATGGTTTTCTTCTTAGCTGAGATCTCTGTTTGTATTAATTACTATTTGGCAACTTTAATGTATATTCTTTTTAATTTTCTCAAGTAAAATATTATTATTAGTAGTGTGATAGAAGACTTTAATGCGAAGAAGATCAATACATATAGTTTTGTTCTTAGAGGAACTATATAGTTATTGATTTTGTATGATAAATATTTCTATGATTATATGATATCTATCAGTGTTTCTAAGATCCATAACCATAACTGACTGGTTCAGATAATATCATCAAGTTGAGCTTTGGATCCCTCGATTTGTAGGACTTCTTCTGCCCAATAAATGTCCTTTCCCAACAGCTGTAACTGTACCTCTCCTTCATCCTCAGTTGAGGATAATCTTAGGTAACTTTGAAGACCAACGATCCATAAACTAGCTGAGATTTTGTTGCCATTTTTTTTAGTTAATCATTAGGAAGAGAAAAGAAATCACAGCACAGCAGAAGCAGAAGCAGAGAAAGGATTAGAATTCTAAACCTGCTAGTGATGTGAGAGAGCTTGAAGAGACAGAGATCCAAGATATGTGGAGTTTAATGGGGGATCATATTGTCATTTTACTGAATCAATATGTGAGAGTAGAATCTCATTTAGGAAGAACTCATCTGGTTCTGTCTACCGCAAGCAAATCACTCGATCAACAAAAGAAGGTTTCTGATTGTGCTTAGCCACATAGCCTTGTGATCCATCCTGTCATGACGATCTCTTTCATTGCTTAGCCACATATCTTCTTCAGGTTCCTCAGTTTTGGGCTACTTGGCGATCCAACAGACCATTATTTTCTCTGTGGAAGCACTAAATGCCAACCAGTATGTGAAGCCAATAGTTTGGCAGATGAAATGAATCTATCTATCTTGCAGTGAACTGGTCATGCTCTGCTGCAACTCTTAGCTCGAGAGCATCTGCTGCAGTCACTATCAGTTTCTAAAGTTTGGACTTGATATTGTTGTGTTGATCAGAGCTGATCCGAAATAATGCTGAAATGATTTTGATTGGATGAATTCTTTCGATCAGCAATGAAGTAGGATTTGCATTGGATTCCTAAGGACACAAGTGTTGGCTCTTCTTCTGAGCATGCAAAAAACTGCAGCAGCATACACATCACACATTGCAAATTGCTTGCTATCCAACATGTACACATCTTGAATGGCTCATTCTGAGAGATTCTCTTCCCTAAGCATCAGTCTGGAAAAATCTAAATCCTCGATATGTAAAGATGATGATTTATAAGAGCTAATGATCAACCACTACTTTTCATTGTTATTTTGGATGCCTATTCGATGCTCATGATGTGGACATGTCATCGCAGCCATTTATAACACCATATATTTCCCATTCTTTTAGTTTTGAGGGTTGACTTTGAATAACATCTTGAGGGTTTGACTTTTGTCATGGTTTGAAACATCAGTAACTCCACTCTTCTGAGCATGAACTGCATGTTGATCTGAGGAGGGAAAGAATTGCTTTGAGATCAGAGTTTCTTTATCAGGTCAATGAGAAGAATTTAAGGTTTTGGTGTTCTATGAATCTCTCTGATTTGGGAGTCTTTTTTATTTTTTCTAGTTAGACTTGCTCAATTAATTTCTGCTGCTGGTTTGACCATGAAGAGTCCATGATAAACTATACCATGGGACAAATAGGTTTGACCAGCAAAATCTGGGTATGCTGCTTTGACTTGTCTAATGTCTCAGTGGACCAAGATGATCATTTCTCAAACATTCTTATCGATTTATGATAGAAGATTTGTGCCGACATCATTTGCCCATGAGGAGAGAGAAAATTGAGTCAAAGCCACATCATATGGAATCCATGTTTATCCAGAAAGAATGTTTCTGTACCTGAAGGCCATGCAATTTCTTGTTGAAAACATGAGAATTGGATGCTTCAATACATGACAAACATTATATTAATGCAAGTCTAATTCATATGTTTTATGAATAAATATGAAACATTATATATTCAATTTAAGAATGGAAAAAGAACATTAGATATCTATCACCTGTTCTCCGATATCCAAAAATAATCATCCTAATGTTCGATAAAAAAAATATATAAATGGATAAAGAAGCGACGAAACACCACATCATACAATGTAATTTCTTATTGAAAAGATAAGTATTAATGCTTTACTAGCACTTACAAATTGTGTAATTTGGAACTATCAAATTTATTTCTCCATGTGTCATCCATTGGTATCAATTCTAAAGAACAAAACTGTACTATAATTATAGTGTGTATGTTTGATTAAAAATAAAAATTGATGAATATATTATATGAATAAAAATGAAAAAAAAAACAATATCTTTTGATATTTGGTCAAACTTTGTGGCTTAGTTCAATGAACAGAAAAAGAAGTTCTTGTCAAGAGTTGTTTTTCTTTGCTTCTGGCCACATTTTGACAATGACCATTGTGCTTTATTGGGGGGAGAATCTAAATTAGCATTGGAGAAACTTGGCTACATGCCTATTCTCCATCTTCAACAAGGCACTGTGATGTGATGTGATGTTTCCCAACATGAACCCAAAACCTTTGAAGGGAGAGGTGGCAGGTTGGTCAACCACAAAGCCCTGACACCATCCCCAAAGATCTCTGAGGTGTGCCAATGCCGTGAGAGCCCCCTTCACCATATACTATTGCTTAAATTGGAAGTGCATCATCTCACAAGGAGGCCTAAAAGCCGTGACTTGATAGGGGAGGTTGCCAACCAAACCAACCTCAGCCATATTAAAATCCCAAACCTCTTGGTCTTGCATAGGTGAGCCACAACAATGAAAACATCCCTTGGATGGATATACTCTGATCTGAGCTTGGAAAATGACTGCACAGAAGAGAGATGTAGCCATCGAAACAGCACAGTGATTTTTATTTGTTTGTTGTAAAGAAGAAAAAATTGTCCCAATTGGCTTATTTTCATGATAATTTTATGAGTTCTTATGATTTACTTCCAAGGCTGGTTTCACCAAAATGAAGCTACTTTGTTACTTGCAATGTATATAAATATTACAATCCTCATCGTACAGTAGATGTGGGATGATTTGATGGAAGAAGTTAATGCACCTATCTTGTCCTTGGATCAAAGAATATGAGAGAGAGAGAGAGAGAGAGAGGGAGAGAGAAGTGGATTTGGATTGAATGAAAAGGATTTGGTTTTGAATTGTTTTTGTATGAACTCAACACCGCACTGCATCTATTGCTTCCTTCTTAAACCCCTTCTTTCCTTCTCCCACCATGCTATTCTCTTCACTCGAAGGTATCCAAACACCACTTCATAAGCCTTCTTTCTCCTCTTCTTCCTGCTCGTTCTCTTCGGCTGCCGGTATTCTCCTGAGGAGAAAGGTGAGACCTTTGAAGACTCTTAGAAAAGCTGCCACCTTTTTTTTCATTGCTTCCCCCTTTTCTAGCTTGTTTTGGCTGTTCTGTAATGGTCGCTACTTCCTTTCATGGTGCTATGCTTCTTTTCTGCTTTCTATCCATATGCTGTTGTTGTTGTAGAGGGTTTAGATGGTCCTTCGCTTCTTTCTGGAACGTTTCTCTTTGTTTGTCTATGGAGAAAGGCGTCTCCTTTTCGAAAATTTTCCATTTTTTTTCTTCCTTTTTTGGCTTCTGGGTTACTAAGTTACTTGTTTTGATGGTCGGAATCTTAGGGTTGTTAAAGCTCTGAATCCACATAAGTTCTCAGGTATTAGAGCTATTAAATTCGTTCCAAAACCTTATATGTTCATCCATATTTTTCTTGTTTATCGTTTCTTGATGTCTTATCGTTTGAAAATTGATCCATTTCGATTGGCTTCCGCCTTTGCCCCTTTTTGCTGTAAGCTTTTCATGTTCTATCGAGCCATCGTTTCATATTATATATGTTCTTCTTTTGGTTTCTTTCTATTCTTGAAAGCAGTTAAATCCTTGCTCTTGTATGAGCTCGAGTCCTCCTGTCCGTTCTTCGAGTTATAGCATGAAAACCTAATTGCAAAAGAATAATCTTTAATTGATTTGTTGGATTTTAGCCGAGTATCGTCTATTCAATGGATATGGATTTATTTAATGATTTTGTCTTACTTTCTCTGTAATCATGAAGTGAATGGGGGACCATTTTGTGTTGTTGGTGGACCGCTTGCTCACGGAGTCGACCCTTGAAGCTGCCATAGGAAGGATAAATCAGGGGTCAAACACACCAATTGCTTCATTGTCAACAGTGGAGAAGGAAACTGATCTTTCTCCTAAGAAGAAACATGTTGGGGATGGGGTGTTCACTGGTAAATTGGTCGAGTGCCGAATCTGCCAGGATGAGGATGAGGATGCTAACATGGAGATTCCCTGTTCCTGCTGTGGAAGCTTAAAGGTAAAAGGAATATACTTTTTTTCCTAAACTGTAGAACAACTCCATGTTGACGTCTATTTCTCGGTATGATGCAATTAAGATGGATAGTTTTGCTAGACTATTTTATTAGTTGCAAATCCTTCATTGTATCAGGGATTATATACCGATAGTGATGTCAACACTTCGGTGGTGGACGGTAGGTAGGTGCAACAAGAAACATCAGCAGTTTTTTAGTTTAACTAATTAACATTCAACATGAATCTGGAACTTTAACTACGAGAGTAGTTTTGTTGATGTGATTGCTATTTGATCATGAATGATGTAATTTAATTAGTAATTTAACTTTCAGGTGTTGACTCTTTTTCGTATAATGGTTGATTAGCTGAGTAGTGAAGTGGCCTTCCTTGCATCAAACTGAGAAGGTTGCTTGTTTATTAGGTATCATATAAGAATCGAATGATCAGTTTCCTATTATATTTCTATAATAACATAATTGGCAGTGTTCTTAGGGGATTGCAAAATGTTCCAATTCAGGATTTGAAGTTTAGCTTAATGAGAATGGAAACAGTGGTCTTATGGAGAATGTCTATAGCTCTGCGTTTGTGCTTTATCTCTCTTTACAAATATTTTATCATGCGCTTGTTGGTTTAGCTTTCAGCTCGATAATATCAGTTGCTCCTATTTTCATTTGGTACTGCCTCCTACGTTAAAAAGCAGTTGATCGGATTGTGTTAAACAAAATCATCAGCAACAACTTGTTCTACATGGCATTTATTTTTGGTTGTGCAAAACTGCGAATTATGACCAGAAAGAATGACACTTTTAAGCTATAACTTCTAAAGATAAACTCATCATAGCTGATGCATAGAACAAAAGCTTTCAATATGTCCAACTTGTTGTTTATTCAAAATTTTCCCATGATGTCATTCAGTAACACTGAAAATTCACTTTGGTAGAAAAAGCATTAGATGCTGAGTGCATACTACTGCTTGTCCAGAAAGACTTAACGGGAAAGTTGCTACTGGTTGAACACAATTTAATGAGCAAGATTGGTGAAGCTTTCTTCAGTTGAGACAAATCTGCTCATTAATATTGAATAGTGATTGCTTTTATAAAGTAAAATATATCTTCTAATCAGATCTTTTACTGCCTGCAGTATGCTCACCGCAAGTGTGTGCAGAAGTGGTGTAACGAAAAAGGTGACACCACATGCGAGATATGCCTTCAGGTAATTCGTGATTGTTTTCTTGATACATAACCTTCATATGTGCATCCATGGTCGAGTCGTTCCAATTTCAAGTGGCAGAGTGTTTGACTAAATCTCTTATCACTCGTGCTATAATATGGATCCAGCAATTTCAGCCAGGTTATACGGCCCCTCCTAAGTTGTTTCTTTATGGGACTACTCCTATGAATTTCAGGTACTCACTCTGATCCTTTTTCACTAAAATGCAGTGAATTTTTGGGTTCCAAATGATCTTACGATTGAAACATGATCCATTTAGGGGAAACTGGGAGATTTCAAGGCGGGATATCCACAATCATCAATATATAACAATGACCCAAACTGACCGTGCTTTTCTGGCATCCAGCTACTATGACCATGCAGCTTCAAACACTAGAAGCATAATGTATTGCCGCACAGTGGCTGCCACAGTGAGTTGCTTTTCTTTCCTTTTATGAAATTCCAACTCTTATTTATGAGGTAGCAGTTGAAAATTGGAATCTTCTGTTTCCAGTTCATGGTTATTTTGGTTCTTCACCATTCTCTCCCATTTATCGCGGGTGGAGCTGAGCAGTATTCGATCCCGCTTTTCACAGTAAGGCTTTACTGGAACTCAATATATATGCAAAAAAAAGGTTATATTATTTCTCACATGTTGACTTATACTTTCACCAAAAACTAGCTGTTGCTCTTGAGGATTGCTGGCATCATCCTACCTCTCTACATTATGTTGAGAGCACTTACCACATTTTACCAACGGCAACAACTGCAGGTAATTTTTTTTTTAATATTTTGCTACATTTTCTAGATATATATTAAACATCTAATTTCTTTCTTTTTCTTCAAGTCAGCTAATGTTTCTCCATTGCAGGAAATGCAAGAATCTTCTCTTTCAGCATCGGAAAGAGAGGATGAGCATCTGCACCCTTCTTCACAATCGACTCAACCTCCATCGCATCTTATCCACATTCATTAACCGAAATGCCTTTGGGCACATAAGTTAGTCCTGTGATATTCTTGTTGTATCTCTGGTGATGCAAAAAACTGTCGGTTTTGCTCATTCCCAAACTGAAGAAGGAAAATGGAATAAAACAGAAGAGAGGGAAAAACTTAAGTCCCGCAGCTAGTAAATTTACCACCGAAGCTTCATTTAGTTTCCAGGAGCTTTATAATACTTGCATAGCAAAGAGGTATCAAAAACTGTAAATAGTATGTTAGGTAGTTTCACCCAACATAATGGTGCCACTCTCTTCGAGTCCATGAAGATGAAGTGTGGTTATGTATGTGATGAAATGTATGAATTGGCTACACCCTTATAAATGTTGTGTTCTTGTAAATAAAGTCACAATCTATTCAATTATATAATAAGTTTAATGCTTGAATTTAGCTGTGAATACTCATTAAAATCATCGGTTGTGAAATTGTATGGTTGATTTTCCAGCTCATTTGAGTACTGTGAATTGTGATATCCAATTTACTGTGACCACTGCCTTGTATCTTGTTCAACTGGAAACCATCATGATGAGTGAATTATTTTAGTGAATTAACATGGAAGCAAGGTAGATGACTTACAAGAACTGTGGATGATTGGTAGAGAAGAAAGACTGATGATGGATAAACAAAAGCAAAAGGAGGCCTTCATGCTTCCTGGTAACTTCTTTCTGCAGTGTTCCACCACATTGGACCTTATCTTTTCTGTTTGATCTCTTTTGTTTAAGATATGCTTTGGGTAAAACATAAAAACAGAACAATTTATAATAATTATTTCATGTGGTAATTCATTGGTGCCTCACAGGTTTCACTCTGCTTTCTGTTTCCATTTACTTTCTCAAGATGTGATCAAGCTAATAGTTTCTCATCATACTTTTTTGAAGTTAACTTAATCCTGTAGCAACTAATAGAAATTGGTGAAAGACTACAGATTACTCATATAAGTTCAAATTAGGATTTTTGGTTATCAAATAAATCCTGTGTACGTCATTGTCTGTATATATTGGTGCAATCACTCTACATAATTTTTACTCATAATAAGTTCAAATTAGGATTTGAATGGTTCCACATAATTTTTACCATATAGATGACTAGTGATTATAAGATCATATTATTATGATCGAAATACTCCTGACCGATGTGAGATAAAATATACTAACCATGGTACAAATAAGAAGAGCACAACCCCAAATCAAATTCCACATTACTTGAATGAAAATAGGTGACAGTTGAAACAATGGTGTTAATAAACAAGGTGACATGGGACATTATGATTAGCAATTCAGATATTATGATTGACAGGCATATCTTTTTTTTTTTTTGAAGTCTGAATGAATGTCATATAGTCAAAGAATTGGTATAAGATTTTACACCCATAGTTTCAACTTTCACCATTCACCTGAAGATTAAAACTTGAAAAATTGAAGTCTCTAATTCAATGGATGACATCAGTCAAACTTCAATGTTCATTGGTGTCATCTCAAAGCTCTGCATCAACCTCCAAGCCATTTACTACTATGCCCTTTATAAGATAACCAAATGTCTTGATCCCTAATGCCCAAAGAAAACTTGATTTGAATTACAAATTAAGGGTCCCCAACCCTTGCCAGTTTTTTCCACACAGCTGACCTTTTCAATAATTGTTGCTAGATGCAGAGCTACCTGACATTTGATGCTAATAAATATAAGTTTGACATACTATTTGAAAATTGTAGTGTGAATTTGTAAAACAGTATACAGCTCATTTCCAGGCAGACAACCAAAAATCAGATAATTAGTTGATGGCGAATTCTGGTGAATATCATTCATGAAGCCAATAATCCATATTTGCTTCAGTTCATAGAAGCGATAGTTGACTTGTTCTTGATGCCTTCAGTTCCAACCTTTTCTGTGCCTGAAACATTAGCAGGGGTAACAAAGTAGATCACTTTCTTGAACAAAACCATAGTATTGCCTAATAATAGAAAAACATGTGAACGATTACCCTCCTACTAATTATATTTTCTTTAGAGAGTGTAGTTGGTGTAAGTACTTCCGATTCTTCTGTTGGGTCCTCCAAAAGCAAGCTAGTGCTCCGAATGCACAGCTAGCAACCGCGATGGCTAGTGCAGCTCCGACGGGAACTGTCATTGCATTGGTTGAGGAAGCTATGTCATATGTCGAAGCTGCATCGTCACTGCTGCTGAGAGTTGCTTCCTTGGAAGAAGCAATCGTTCTTCCATAATATCTGACCAAAAACTGGAACACTTCATCCTCATCCCATTCTATGTTCTCAGTGCCATTGCTTTCCCTGCTGTAGGAAATATAGCATGATGGACAGAGCTGCTTTGGAGGCCAAGTGATCTTCGGGAATCTCGGATCACCAGTACCCAAAGTTTTTTCTTCTTTCATCAATCTCTGATTGACCTTGTTATGTGTTCTCCACAGCCACATTGCTAGGTCACGGGTTTTGTTAAACGGTACTGAGACACTACAAGCACAAATGAAAAGTGAGTTACACATAGATAAGAAATTGAAAATTCTTGGAATTAAAAAAAATATCATATTTTATACCTTGACGATATCTCATGAAAATGATTGCGACATTCATCACAGATGAAAAAATTCTGAATAAATTCACATATTGCTATAAAGGCTAAATTGCTCTCTCCATCTCCAACTCTAACGGATAGGGAGTGAAATAGAACCCAGAGGCCACAGCTGCAACAAACACAGTTACTCCAATAAGCTATACAGTCACCATATATTGTTCTCCATAGTAACTCATTCCATATGATCTATTAAATATACTGTATCATCAGAAGATGCATGCAAGAAATGCATAAAATAGTCAATACCACCTATCAAGAAGGTATTAATGGCAGCGAGGTATAACAGATGAAAATGGTACTGGGCATGGTGATATTAAAATGAGACCAAATAAGCATGACCACCAAAGTCTAACCGATTTGTGTTTGGATGAACATGTTTCTTATAACAACTGAGACAGAAAGCACATTCAAATGCCACCATTCAGTGAAGGAAACAAATCAATATATCCTAAGACTTCATATTTCTCTAAGTTGAACAAACAATTATTCAATTACCATGATATGTTCTAAATTCATATAGGTTCCTACAATATAATTCCACATCCAAGATTTTCACAGCATAAACTCCTGCATGCTAATGATCCTAGTAAAACTCACATCATGATCATAAAGTTGGAATTATATTCAGAGATCCATACAACCATCTTATAGTTCAATCAGCTAATATCAACTATGTTTTTTAAATTATATTTGTTAAAACAAGGAAAAAACAGTATAAATCTTTCAGAAACTGCAAAGGAAGCAGTTGTATTGAATTACATTCAAAGGTGTACTAGAGATGAGGACCGTTGCCTACATTAGATTTTGAATGGAACAATTACATGGTTGGCTGGTATAATTTTTTCTGTATCTAACAAATTGTTAAAATTAGGCATGAGATACAGGTTGAAATATCCAAAGGCTGCAGGCATTATTTGGCATCAATACATGTAGAAAACCCAAGAATAAGTATAAAAAATATCAGAAAATCCATGAAAGGAAACAATCCATCACCCTGCTTCCTCAGATCATTTACCTCCATGTCCTTTACTACCCACGAGAAGACCCAGCAAAAGAAAATAATGGCAACCACCTTCTAAAATATTAACAATTAGTTGTTCTGCACTTACACATAGAATGGATTTGTCATCATCATGACAGAGATGCATCATGCATGAATTTTTTTGAAGAAATATACAGATTCCGCAAACGGCATGAAATTTTTGAAGAAATATACAGATTCCGCAAACGGCATGAAATTTTACCAATAAGTTTATTTTGTTGTGCAACAATAATCAAAATACCAAAGAACAGTATCTGCAAAGGTTGGAAAACTACCTAAAACCTCTGGTACCCTTCTTGCTCCCACGGCAAAATATCTGCAACATAAATTTCCACACATTAGATAATATTAAAAAGTTGCTACTTATTTAAATATACATATGACTAACTCATATTTTCTAATGTCACACACAATTTAGCAAATCTTTTAGATATGTCTTCACAAACAAGAACAGTAGCTGTCCATTTCTCATCCTGTTTTTATTACCGTCACTAGAATAGATTAGTTCAATGTGCAGGACAGAACATCACCAATCAATGCATTCAAGAATTATGCAAAGGTGAACCTTTCAGTAAATTATGCTGGTCCCATATTTATTAACACAGGAATTCGGTTATCATTAATGATTTGATTTGTCAATCTATGCATCAGCCATAAAAGATCACATGCAGGTTATAGTTTCACAAGACCAAGTCTTAGCTTATCAATGGCCAGTTTTCGACAGATCTCATTTTCCCACATCTTTCAAGGAACTTGATAGCTCAACTATTTTATGCAATTTTGAAGGTCAGAACAGAAATATATAGTTCACTTGGAATATAAAATACTACATGACTTGCTGCTTGAAAGGTGAACCCTCCAAGTAAATTATGATGTAATTCTCCTTTTAGTAGCTTAAGGAATTAGGTTGTCATTTAATCATTTGATTTGTCAATCTATGCATCAGACATAAAGAATCACATGCAGGTTCTTTTACAAGTACAGAAGTTTATATATTTGGTGGGTGGGTTAAGTGGGTGGTGGGAAGGCAGAAAGAAAAAAAGGTCAGGGTGTATTTTCTTTTTGTTTCAAGCACATACAAAAATCACATTATCTTGTACAAATTATTGTAAGCTGAATCATAACTGAAACAAATCAATTTCAATTCTAAGACTATTCCAAAAATTGATGTTAGGCTAGTTAACCAAGCAAATACATGAACATTCCATGGGTTAAATCACTTGGATTTAATAATTTTCTCTAAACGAAAAGAACCAACTACTATGCTCCAAAATGAGTAATAAAGTAGAATGCCTACCCAGTACCCATGAGGAACTTCCTTGCCACAGATATGATAGTACTTGGAAGCATCTACTTGCTGCAATATGGTAGTCTCCTGTGAACTCAGTGATATGGGATCTGAAGGCCACAAATCATCGAAATTCACTAGCATTTCAGCACTTCCCCTCCGACACCTAATAATTAACTCCAGAATAAGTACTAAAGTCTATCTTATAAGCTATATACAAAAAAAGCCTGATCTTTGACCTTTTTGAGGGATGATGAACCACCAAAAGTTGAAGAAATTTTATAAGTGGGACTTGAGTATTTGACTTGATCATCTGAAATTGTACAATCATCACATAAATTCATTCTTTTGAGAATGTAAAATATAGAAAGGCACTACATCCAGAGAAAAAGAACTCAACCTTGTTCTGGAAGATTATTTCAAATGCTTGTGCTGTTGCTTCCTCAACG